AAAAAAAAAAAAAAAAGAAGGCATTGCCAACTGTTTATATGTTTAATAGATGTTCAACTTGATTTGAGACTGGCTTTGGTAGTAACATCGTTTGTTGTTGTCAATTATGATGAGATTAAGTAACAATAAGAGGTGCAAGCATAGAAGTTAGGGTTATAGATGAGATTAAGTAACAATAAGTAATTATGATAAAACGTTAAACCACCAGCAGTGGAAGCACAAAAGTTTATTAATTAAAGGTGCCTCAATTAAAGAGAAACCCACTTGGGAAGTTATTACAACCTCATCTTTTATTGTTCGCTTCTTCCAAATTATTTAATGGCGCATTAGCTACCTTATAAAAGTCCAATTAGCTAAATTGCCAATAAACATTCAATTTATCACACTTGATAGAAGATTAGAAGTTCAACATAGTTCAATGTTAACATTTTGGATATTGAACTTCAGCTTGAGCAGCAGCTCAAAGTCAATTACAAATTAAAATTAAACAATCTAGAAGCTTAATGATGGACAACATTTATGAATAACAAATTGGTAACATTACAAACAGATTTGGTGTAAATAATCATTTCCCTATAATTAGGATTGCCACAACATCCATTGATTTAAGCTCTTTCAAAGAAAAAAGAAAATGTGCCCATAATCAATATAATTTTTTTGGAAGTAAGCTTCTTTAAAAAACAGGAAAATGTGTACATATCAATTTATTGAAGGTAATGTACAACATAATTGCCTCCTACATTCAGGACAACAAACAGCCAAATCACATGCCTATTTACATAATAAAGCTTCATTGAAGTCAGACTATACCCTCTTATGCAACATCTGCTCAAGCAACTCCATGAACTACTCAAGAACATAAGAAAACCACAACCAATTCAACTTTTAACAGAAAGTAATCCCTACCAAACTACAATTTTCGGTACGAAGCTTTCAAAAAATCAGAGCCGTAAACAAAGAATATCAACATCTTACAACCATATGAAAATTATGTAGGAGCCATCAGGTTTAAAAAGCTCGATATTTGAAGCTTCATTGATAAATCAGAGAATATATACATTTCTTGCATCATCTGCCCAACCACTTATTAAGAACATGTAATGTCAAAAACACAATACATTTTTATCAAAGGTGAATCTTTGGGAAAAACAAATCAAAATCAAAAGCAGCAAACGACCAATTATCAAAAAAAATCTTTTCGTTTTCTCAGGCAAGGTGAGCATCAGTTTTAAAAAGCTCGATATTTGAAGCTTCATAGAAAATCAGAAATATCTTAATATTTTACATCATATGCTCAAACCCTCAACCATCTCTGTGAAATACCTTACACAAATAAACAATATTCAACCACACTTTTCAATTTCCAACATTAAAGCATATAGTTAAAATCTTCAATATGAAACTTCCGTAAATATCAGTGTCTACACTCTACACTCGTAAACAAATCCCTTTTCTTTCTACTTTCAGATGGGCCGAGCATCAGTTTTAAAAAGCTCGATATTTGAAGCTTCATACAGTAATCAGAAATTATATCAATATCTTACATCATCTGCTAGACCATCTGTGAAAGTACCTAGAACAATGCTCAATCACAAATATTTCAATTTTATAAAATGAAGTAGTTTCAATTTTACAAATATTTCAAGTATTAATAATAATTCATACAAACAGTGCCAAGGAAAGAGACCCTGGGCTACTAGTGCAAGTGCAAACAAGGGTGTAAATAAAGACCACACCATCAAGATAATCTTAGCTTTTGAAAATTCAGAGTTGTAACAGGTCATTAAAAACATTACTGTTTTCTCTTTATACTATAAGATGATATAAGCATCAGTTTTAAAAAGCTCAATATTTGAAGCTTCATAGAGAAATCAGATAATATATCAATATATAACATCATCTGCTCAATCATCACAATGAAAGTACCATATAAAGGCATTCAAATACAAATACTTAACTGTTTATCATTACCAAACCACTAAAATCTCCAATGCAGAGCTTTGCAAACATCACAACTTTGGAAAGCTATATTACAGCTCACAAAAACATTTTTTTCTCTTTTTACTTTTAAAAGATATGAGCATCAGTTTTAAAAAGCTCGATGTTTGAAGCAACATAGAGAATTCAGAAAATTTATCAATACCTCACATCATTTGCTCAATTATCTCTTAGAAGTACTTTAATACAACGTTAAATAACATAAATTTCTATTTTTATCGCCAAGTACATCAATAAAACACCAATAGAAGCTTATTGAAAAATCAGAAATGTCCTAAGCAGACAAAACATAGAGTTAATAATATTAGCTTACAAAAAACTCATCTCATTTCTAAATTTTAGATGATCCGAGCATCAGGTTTAAAAAGCTCTAAGATTTGAAGCTTCATTGAGAAGTCAGACAATCTCTTTCATCATCTGCTCGACCATCTCTGAGTGGATCGTGTACAAAGTGTTAGTGTGGAAAAAAAAAATGTTTTTCAACAAATGAA